TATATATATATATATTTATTTATTTATTTATTTATTTACTCATTAATTTTATTTATTTATATACATATATATGTATCTTAATAAATAAATATATATGTATATATAACTGAACTACAAAATGAGACACTTGAACGCCCGACTAAACCAACATCTGTTACGACTTACTGGACACAACTGATCTAATAAGTAAACAAAAAAAAAGTACTGTTTTCACCAAAGTTTTTCTAAAAAATATGAAAGAATTAGAAGTCTGAAGAGTGTGGCATCAATTCGGCAGAGACTCACGATAATGCAATATAGATACAGGAACGACAAAGTGATGGCATAAACACGAAATTTGAGCCCATTTTTGGAATACCAAAGATATTTTTGTTAGAAAAAAAGACGATGAAATTTGCGAGGACTTTGATGCGAAAAAAGCGGGCTTTCTGATAAAAACAAGTCCAACACAAACTACAGCAGTTTTTTAGTTTTCTCCATTCAACTACAGCCATAATGGTGACAACGATAGTAATAATAACAGTTTTCTGGAATAAACTAAATAATTTATATAACTAAAAAATAGTGCAGTAATTCAATCCACTCGAACGTCGGCAATGAAAAATAGAACGGTTTTAGAATACGCAAACAACTTTTTTCAACCCAAAAAATTTCCTGTTTTTGTATAATCCAAAAGATGAAAAAAATATCTTTTATAAGTTGATCCATAGTCTGTATGGAATACTTTTGAGATTTAAAAACAGAACCCTTTAACAGTAATTTTTCTTCTGTTGACTGTTCTTCATTTGTAATACCAAAAAATCGTAAAAGAAAAGCTTTTTTTGAATAAACAAAATAAAATAAACAAAATAACTTTTTTTTCTTTTAACGCTGTTGTTTTCATATACGATCAAGCAGTCTAAGCACCATTAGAGGCAGATGAAAGCCTAGTACAGATGTAAGCAACTGTATACGCTTGCTTTTTCTCTCCGATTCCCTGATGCCCTTTCCTCAAACAAAACAAATTGAGAGAACAAAACTGCACCTTCAATTCGTCGAAATGAAGAACGAATAGATTCAGATTATCGAAAGCAACTACCGACAACAATTATGCGATGCTTCATCATCAGGCAAGTTCAGACAACTCCATTCAAGTAGTATACGTAAATCCGACTGGCATTCCTTAGCAGTCTTTGGTTACAATGCCTTCTGTATCGCCTGACTGCTCTCACAAAAAATCAACCAACTGTTTACAAGTTTATATCAAGTCTATATTAGCAAGTATCTATGTTCACACTAGCAATTCTTTTTTTTTTTTTTTGCTTTTTTTTTTTT